GCCTCTAGTCATGATTCTCGAAGTTCTCCCGAAAATTCGATTTGCTGATGCTTTGTACTCTTATGCTAGCAAATACACTGTTGGCTAATGGTGGTTTTTTACCCAATTTTCAGATATTAACGAATGTACCAGTTTGAAACATGACTGCCATCACAATGCTACATGTACAAACTCAATGGGTTCATACACATGTGAATGTAACACTGGTTTTGAGGGAACTGGTACAAACTGCACCGGTAAGTTTAGATTAGCAGGGAATTTTTCCGCGTTATGAATATTGTCGCTTTAGTATCTTTCAACAATTTGATCTTAGACTTTGGACAACAGCGTGCGCACATAAGGTGATGAGATTTGGTATGATGGAAAGGTATAGAAAGACAACTAGCCGTGAGGAATTTATTGTACAAGGTTCATACTGTTTTGGTCCTCCTCGTCGCTGCTCTCGGCACCGGTAACAAAAAAATTGCTCGGGATCCGACTCTCTCGCTTTCGCTAGTTCATCTCTCTTCCTGTCCGCTATTTTCTAAAGGGAAGTCGACCGCTTGCCTTCTCTAGTCGATCGGTTGCCTTCTCTATAGGATTTCGGGTGAGCAGCACGACTACCTGTGTGGTTTAAATCAGTCGCCGTTCTTTGCAAGATTATATTTTGAAAGACGACAACCGTTGCAGTACTTGTAAATCTCCACGATTCGCTGGATACTCGGAGCTTTGAGCTGGAGGTGAGGGAACTGCGATCTTAGCTTGGCGAGCGATCCCTGAGGTAAGTGATCTCGGCAATTTTTCAAAACGGAACTGATTCCGAGTAGCCAATTACTTTATTGTGAGTCGCACTGCTCTTGCCTGTACAGGGTGACAAGAAAATGTATTTTGATGTTGCGCAGTATCAATCAGAATCACCTACCCGTCGCTCTCATAATCCACTCGAAATCTAGCTAGACCTTTCTGGTACTAGTGAACTCACTTACTAACCAAAATTTGGATGAAATGGGCTGCCAAGCGAGTATTGGCGACATAAAAACAAAGCTGAAAGATAACCGACAATATTATGATGACGCGAACCAAGTAGCCTCAATGTTTCCATGCCAGCATCCAATCAGAAGGCAGAACCATACGCAATGCCAAGGTATGCTTTTAGATATGTTCCAGGAAGATTTCCATCATTGAGTGTCAAGGACTGCATCACCAGATGTCATGCTTTCTCAAGGACGAAACACTAGTGACCAGCTAAAGAATGACAACAGGATTTAAATTGCATTTCAACAGGGCTAACTCGTTCAAACTGTACTCTTTTGAAACCGACTTGAATATGTGTGAAACCGTTCATCGCGGTCGATGCCCTCCTCTCTAATTCCCAGGCAGCCAGAGATCCGACCTCCCCATGCACAAGCACTCTTCTCTACCAGTAATAGCAATGGGATGAACTAAAACTGTTTCACGACTGCATACTTCAATGAAAACAGGACAAGACAGAGCTGGACAAGAGAAGTCACAGAACGAGACTAGACTGAGAACTGGAAAGAAAGGAACAGATGGCAGAATATGAGCATGCGCAAATCCAGCAATCACACACATGACAATGATCCACAAAACATTGCAACAACAAAATGATCATTCCAACAGGAAAGTAAGTCCGCAAAAACATCAGAGCAAAAGCACAAGAAGAGTCATTCTTACATGACGCGTGACCGTATCCTAGGAATTATCCAATCACCACCTTTCCCGCCGCGGGCGTGATTTAGCCATCATGCCCGCTGCCCTTGGCAACACTGACGTCACTTCAGGTATGATTGACAATCATGCCCGTGGTCAAGTGGCAACGGATTATAGCCAATATTATGACAAGGCGCGGGTTTTGAAGAAAGAAGTGGACGTACAGTGTACCATGTAGAAAGGAATGTCAGTTGACGGGAGGCAGTTTTTGTGATTCGTACCGGCTGTGAGGATGGAGCCTTCTTCCAAGATATTTCTACTCGTTTCGGAAGACCATGTTGACTCCGTGATTAGCGCTCGATTCCGAGAAAGTTCCAAGAATTCCACGAACTCTTGGTTCAAGGTGGCAGGTGCTTTCCGTGGTACGTACCACAAAATGAACTCTTTTGGGAGAACTCGAGCAAAGCTGAACTCAGCGAATTCCTGGCGGCTCTCAACGTAGGTGCTCGTAGCCAGGACGAGCAGTGTTATCAACGTAAACAGTCTACAGGGCCTCAGAGCGGCATTGTTCAGAAAGCTGCGCGATGAGCGCTGAAGTGATAAGATAGGATCAGCGTGAAACATTGTGCTCGGTTTCGTTCCTGTGCTGTGTCTTGCGTTACTACGCCCTCGACTCTTTGATGCTGTTGTACATGCTGGAAAGAGACTGGCTATGTTTTTTTCCTTGCAGCTTGTACTGTTGTAGATCTACATGACTGTACCACAATGCATATGTAGAACTACATGTAGATGTAGTTTTTACTTGTTGCATGTTTCTGGCAGTGATTTTATTGAACGGAGTCTAGTACTAGCTGTCCAAGTACTAGCAGACTAGCTCTGGGCGTAGATGAAACTGTTCTCTGGTGTCTTCTCGACTCTTCTTACTTCTTGTGTTCTGGCTGTGACTAGTGCAGAGTGACTTTTCACTGAACTGTGCTAGTCTTTGAGTAGGCTACGTCGTTCCGTAGATCTACGTGCGGCGTGCGCATGGGTCAAGTAAGAAATTCAATCATACACTGTCTGTCAGGCTTGATGGCTGAATCATGCCCTCACTCCCAGCCCTCGGGCCTATGGCCCTCGGGCTGGGAGCTCAGGCATGATTCAGCCATGAAGCCCTCCAGACCATGTATGATTATAAACTTCACAAAACCCAAAAACACGCAAATCAAACAAACGATCCACCACACCATTCATTTGTGTGCAATGTGCATGAAAGTCAAAATCTGCGCCGACCAAGCATCGATAGAACTTTTCCCATTAAGTTTTTGCCCGCAGAAAGGAATGCTCTTCCAATTAGGTTTTTGGTGTCCATTTCTCGAAAAGGGGTATCATGTTTTGAGCCTAATTCAGTCAAAATTAGATTTCAAAAGCTCAGAGATCAATTATTCGTGAATGGACTGCAGGGCAACTGGGAATTGGGTTTGAAAAATGACAGGATTCAGATTCTCATTTTAGAACACTAAGAAAGAGCACAAACTTCAGGTCCTTCAATTTTTAATTTTGGAAAATAGAAGTTTGTGCTCTTTCTTTTTTATAGTGCCCAAGTATTTTTACTCCTTGGGAACTTGTTAGGGTATTCTCTTTTGATCCTTTCAATATCTCGTATATTGGCAAATATAGTGTTGGCTAATGGTACCTTTTTGACGCAATTTTCAGATGTTAATGAATTCACCAGTTTGAAGCATGAATGTCATGATGATGCTACATGTACAAACTCAGTGAGCTCATACACATGTGAATGTAAAATTGGTTTTGAGGGAAATGGTGCAAACTGCACCGGTAAGTTACTTTAGCTTAGCAAGTAGCCGGAATGTTTTTCAATATCTAAGGAAAAAATTGGAGGCTTATCCAATTTCTAAAGACAAGTTTTCAGCACCGACGCAATCCACACAGTCAAGTAAGCCAATTTGGTTACCGAACGTTTTCGTTCCCTTATCATCATGGGTAAGTACAGGGAAAAATAGAAACATGTCAAAATACAGCAATTTATAGGGCTACAGCAAAAACATAGATCGAGAACCTCACTCTATACATGTGGGAAAACATTAAATTCAGCAGAATAGGTCAAACAGAGGGTTAAGGTGAAGAAATGACCAAAACATAATGAAAACATCAGTGAGGAGAAGCATTCCTGACACTTTCACGAGGATTAGCGCCGATGATTTCATTATGTGTTAGTCACTTCTTCACCTTTACCCTGTATTTGACCTGTTCTGCTGAACTTTTGTTCCACACGTATATCATGAGGTTCTCGATCTATGCTTTTGCTGTAGCTCTATAAATTGCTGTATTTTGACATTTTCCCATTATTCCCTTTACTTACCCATGATGATAAGGGAACGAAAACTTTCGGTTACCAAATTGGCGTACTTGACTGTGTGGATTGCGTCGGTGCTGACACCTTTTCTTTCGAAATCAATATCTGTTAGGTGTTCTCTTCTTATGAATCAAGTATCAGAATATCGCAACAAAGAGGACAAGCTCTGTGGTCACCATTCTTTATCGTGACTACTTTACTATCACAATATCGGACATGAGAGAGAGAGAGAGAAAGAGTGATGTGAGATGTACATGTAAAAGAAAAGAAAGGAGAAAAAAGTTTTATGGTAGTGTTGCGAAACCACAGGTTCTCGAGAGTGAAAGGCCTTCTCGCTTGTGACATTGTGTTCGTTTCAATGCAGTTGTATCTCTACTCCGCCGTACCGCTGATGTTTTCGACGTGCTATACGTTAGGCGCTGCATCTGCCGCTAGGGTTTATCGGGTGTTAGCGGCCGTCGTGAGTTCCCTTCGGGAACGGATACGATAATTTACTTTTTACTTTTTATACGCTACAGGGGCTATGGGCGGTTTGCTGTGTGCGCTGTAGTTGTATGTTGTATGTGTATGGTTTTCTCAAATACGCTGTCATTTTCACGCTATAACTACCTGGTGGTTTTAGTGTTAGTTATTCATTGTTATTAGTCGATCTGATTGAATTATACTGTCAAGAGTGAATAGTTGTCCTCGTGCCGTGTGGTCGTTTGTTCCTGACACTTTAGAGAACCAGAGGGTTCATAACAGGTCGTAATAATAAGGAATGTGTACCAGACAGCTTGTTGCAATAATAGAGTTGTTATATCCAAAAAATTCCATTAACTCGTTGTTGTCTGGCCATGTCTGCATCTATTATACTCTTCATTGCACTCATAAAATTGCTTTCTCCACGCCGACTCTTTATATCCAAAACGCTTGTTTAATTATCAGACTGTCTCTTATATTGGTACACATGTTTCTGGCTAATAATGTTTTCTCACACCATTTTCAGATGTTAATGAATGCACCAGTTTGAAACATGAATGTCATGATGATGCTACTTGTACAGACACAAGTGGTTCATACACGTGTAAATGTAATTCTGGTTATGATGGAAGTGGTACGACCTGCAATAGTAAGTGTGAGCAGATTGGCATGTAGCCTGAATGCATTTCCATGTGTTAATATCCGTACCGACCAAGCATCATTGGCCAGGGCGAAGTTTCTCCTGTTGCTGACAGGTGGGTCCTTTCAGTCCAGGTTGATAGTGTTAGTAACAGCTAGTATAGCTTATCCACACACTTTCCCTTTCCCAGGATGGTTGGCGAGAATCAAAAGTTTGGAAAAAATCGCTACAGATTGGATAAAGTGCATCTTGACGTCCAGGTCAAGAGCATGCATGTCGTGTTGCAGGCCTTCCAGCCGGGACTTTCCCTCAACATGCAGCATAGAGACTAGGGCGAGTAGGGTCAAATCACGTTGTTCATGACGTAAGAAGTCTGCTATGTGGGCGCGCCACATACCCGGCCCATGCAACCAGTGTAGGCCGCGCGCTGGTCATCTCCAAGCGACCTTGATGGCATGGACCATGGTCATTCCTTGCTGTTGCAGATCTACGTCGATCATCAGCATGTAAACTAGCCGTAGTTCCTGTTGAACCAAGTTCGGGGTGAACGAGGTTAGTGTGAAAAATGCATCCCTGTTCTTACTGCAAGAGGAAATCTCAAAGAATTCTTGCCAATGCAATACTGCTAGAAGCTATAACGATAGTTTCTACATGTTCTGAGCAGAGCATGAAAGAAATATAATGCATCTTACCTCCTCCATCATGATCCGTTTCGAATAGCCCCTCAGGAACGATCGTGATCATGTGCATTGTGTCGTGCACCAGAAAGCATTATTCTACGTCATGAGGCAAGTGATTTCATCATTCCTCTTGCATTAAAATCCAAAACTACACGCAAAAATTCAGTCACTTTTGCATCAACTGTTGCACCTAAAAATGTTGGTGGCGCAAGGAGAAGCTTGCCGTTTGGAGTGACAAGTGATCACCGCTGCTTTTTCTTGTCAGAGTCAACAATACACTTTGTTCTTCAGCTTTGGGAGTGGTGTTGGAGTAGAAATTGCTGACTAGACGTCGCGGAAGGGCGATCTTTCCTGCGCAGGTACGAGTTTGGACGTATTTCAGAATGGTCGAGTGGAAAATTCAAAATTATATATTTCAAGAAAACCCAAAAAGGATGATGGGGACATGTCCTCAGTGCAAGAAGGGGTGTTCTACTACCTGCCGGTTTATAGTGTTTGCTAATTGAGGACGTAGCTTGCTGTTTTATCAGCGCTTGTAATTTGGCTATTTTCAAGACGATCATTTGTGGCGTCAAGGGACGATTGCCCTCGTCTTCTGGGATACTGGCGTGGCTAAGCGGTACTGCCCCAAGAACTCTTCTAAGGTGAGGTAATGTTGGCTTGATGGAACTTTGTTCGTAGCTTGTTCCTGTATACTGTGCCGTGGCTCGTTTGTAGACCCATAAATCGTGCGAATATGGGGCAATATTGAGGGTGTGCCAATTTGATGGTTCCCTTATAAAGATTTTGCACGGGCTTTGGAATGTCGATCTACACCCCAAAGCAAACCTACCTGCAAAGTTTGAGCGAAATCTGAGAGATCGACTTGCAAAAATATTCTGGTTTTCACAGACATGCTCTCTTAACATAGCCAGCAATCGCATGTCACCACGTACTTTGAAAATCAACATAATTTTTCGAATCGACCTTTTTTCCGGATCACTTTTCAACGAGGACGAAGCAAAGTCGGCCGAACGAAGCCTAGAGGAAGAAAATCACCCTCTCCACTTCACCATCACGATACTGACATAGATACGAGATGAAACAACTAAAAAATCCACAAGAAAACTGTACGGCCATCATCGCGCTGACTTTGGTCTGACTTTGGTCTGAGAATTTCTATCACGATCAAAAATGTACGAGGAGCACTCAAAAATAAGCCACAGACGTACCTTTATCGCTCTCTACTCCTTTTTCAAGGCACAAAAGTCGAGTCTCCACTTTCAAACCAGGAACCAGACATACCAGTGGTCCTTTTCAGCTGCTCCACGAGCGCAGGAAAGATTCACCAAGGGGCGCAGAGCAGCATCCATTCCAGAAAAAGAGCTAAAATACGAGTGAGACTGCATGACTGAGTACATGAGTACATGTATGAGTACATGCAGAAAATAGTCAATTTCAGCGTTTCTGCTCCAAACAGCAACTAGCTTCGACTAGAAACAAAGATTACACCAAAGGATCAAACAACAACCATTTTCTGCAGATTTTTCCAGATGGCTTCCTTGTGCTCGGCCCAGCACGCCAAAAATCACACCTCGGAGGAGTACAAAAATTACAACTCTCAGATGTCCTCGATTGCTGGCCATGCTAAGCCAATTTGGTAACCGAACGTTTTCGTTCCCTTATCATCATGGGTAAGTACAGGGAATAATGGAAAAATGTCAAAATACAGCAATAATATATAGAGCTACAGCAAAAGCATAGATCGAGAACCTCGCGCTATACGTGTGGGAAAAAAATAAACATTCGGAAGAATAGGTCAAACAGAGGGTTAAGGTGAAGAAATGACTAAAACATAATGAAAACATCAGTGAGGAGAAGCATTCCTGACACTTCCACGAGGATTAGCGCTGATGATTTCATTATTTGTTAGTCATTTTCTTCACCTTTACCCTTGGTTTGACCTGTTCTGTTTAATTTTTTTCCACATATGTAGCGTGAGGTTCTCGATCTATGCTTTTGCTGTAGCTCTATATATTATTGCTGTATTTTGACATTTTTCCATTATTCCCTGTACTAACCCATGATGATAAGGGAACGAAAACGTTCGGTTACCAAATTGGCGTACTAGACTGTGTGGATTGCGTCGGTGCTGACACCTTTTCTTTCGAAATCAATATCTGTTAGGTGTTCCCTTCTTATGAATCAAGTATCAGAATATCGCAACCAAGAGGAGAAGCTCTGTGGTCACCATTCTTTATCGTGACTACTTTACTATCACAATAGCGGAAATGAGAGAGAGAGAGAGAGAGAGAGAGAGAGAGAGAGAGAGAGAGAGAGAGGGAGAGGGAGAGGGAGAGAGAGAGAGAGTGGTGTGAGATGAACATGTAAAAGGAAAGAAAAGAGAAAAAAGTTTTATGGTAGTAATAATAAAGAATGTGTACCAGACAGCTTGTTGCGATAATAAAGTTGTTTTATCACTCTCTTAGTATTGACTCCCATTGATTTTTGCTATACCTAAGCAGTCAACTATTCCTGCATATTTCACTCCTTAGGGCTATATTGACTGCTTATATTTGACTGCTTAGGCAGTTAGGGGTTGCGCAGTTGAACAGTGCCTAGTGCAGCATTGTCACTGCAGGAGTAGGTGGTGGTGCAACGGTTGTGCAATCATAAAACCGGGATTCATGAGGTTATCCTTCTGGAATTTGAAATATGGACTGTTTGTCGTGATAACTCTAATATTTACTTCGTACTTGGTCAGTATAGGAAATAAAAACCTCGTAAAAGACCTCGGCTTCGCCTTGGTCTTTTACTCGGCTTTTATTTCCTATTTTGACCTCGTACTCAGTCAATATTAGATACATATCCAAAAAATTCCATTAACTCGTCGTTGTCTGGCCATGTCTGCATCTATTATACTCTTCATTGCACTCATACAATTGCTTTCTCCACGCCGACTCTTTATATCCAAAATGCTTGTTTAATTATCAGACTGTCTCTTATATTGGTACACACGTTTCTGGCTAATAATGTTTTTTTCACACCATTTTCAGATGTTAATGAATGCACCGGTTTGAAACATGAGTGTCATGATGATGCTACTTGTACAGACACAAGTGGTTCATACACGTGTAAATGTAATTCTGGTTATGATGGAAGTGGTACGACCTGCAATAGTAAGTGTGAACAGATTGGCATGTAACCTGAATGCATTTCCATGTGTTAATATCCGTACCGACCAAGCATCATTGGCCAGGGCGAAGTTTCTCATGTTGCTGACAGGTGGGTCCTTTCAGTCCAGGTTGATAGTGCTAGTAACAACTAGCATAGCTTATCCACACACTTTCCCATTCCCAGGATGGTTGGCAAGAATCAAATGTTTGGAAAAATCGCTACAGATTGGATCAAGTGCATCTTGACGCCCAGCTTTTGCATCAACTGTTGCACCTAAAAATGTTGGTCGCGCAAGGAGAAGCTTGTCGTTTGGAGTGACAAGTGATCACCGCTGCTTTTCCTTGTCAGAGTCAACAATATACTTTGTTCTTCAGCGTTGGGAGTGGTGTTGGAGTAGAAATTACTGACTAGACGTCGCGGAGGGGAGATCTTTCCTGCGCAGGTTTGAGTTTGGACGTATTTCGGAATGGTCAAGTGGAAATTCAAAATTGTTTATTTCAAGAAAACCCAAAAAAGATGATGGGGACATGTCCTCAGTGCTAGAAGAGGTTTTCTACTATCTGCCGGTTTATAGTATTTGCTAATTGAGGACGTAGCTTGCTGTTTTATCAGCGCTTGTAATTTGGCTATTTTCAAGACGATCATTTGTGGCGTCAAGGGATGATTGCCCTCGTCTTCTGGGATACTGGCGTGGCTAAGCGGTGCTGCCCCAAGAACTCTTCTAAGGTGAGGTAATGTTGGCTTGATGGAACTTTGTTCGAAGCTTGTTCCTGTACACTGTGCCGTGGCTCGTTTGTAGACCCATAGATCATGCCAATATCGGGCCAATATTGAGGGTGTGCCAATTTGATGGTTCCCTTATAAAGATTTTTCGCAGGCTTTGGAATGTCGATCTACACACCAAAGCAAACCTACCTGCAAAATTTGAACGAAATCTGAGAGATCGACTTGCACAAATGTTCTGGTTTTCACAGACATGCTCTCTGAAGTAAGCCAATTTGGTAACCGAACGTTTTCGTTCCCTTCTCATCATGGGGAAGTACAGGGAATAATGGAAAAATGCCAAAATACAGCAATTTATAGGGCTACAGCAAAAGCATAGATCGAGAACCTCACGCTATACGTGTGGGGAAAAAAAACATTCGGAAGAATAGGTCAAACAGAGGGTTAAGGTGAAGAAATGACTAAAACATAATGAAAACATCAGTGAGGAGAAGCATTCCTGACACTTCCACGAGGATTGGCGCTGATGATTTCATTATGTTTTAGTCATTTTCTTTTCCTTTACCCTTTGTTTGACCTGTTCCGCTGAATTTTTTCCACATGTGTAGCGTGAGGTTCTCGATCTATGTTTTTGCTGTAGCCCTATAAATTGCTGTATTTTGACATTTTTCTATTATTCCCTGTAGTTGTCCATGATGAGAAGGGAATGAAAACGTTCGGTTACCAAATTGGCTTACTGGGCTGTGTGGATTGGGTCGGCGCTCACACCTTTTCTTTCGAAATCAATATCTGTTAGGTGCTCTCTTCTTATGAATCAATTATCAGAATATCGCAACCAAGAGGACAAGCTCTGTGGTCACCATTCTTTATCGTGACTACTTTACTATGACAACAATAACGGACATGAGAGAGAGTGGTGTGAGATGTACATGTTAAAGGAAAAAAAGGAGAAAAAGTGTTATTGCAGTAATAATCAAGAATGTGTACCAGACAGCTTGTTGCCATAATAAAGTTGTTATATCCAAAAAATTCCATTAACCAGTTGTTGTCTGGCCATGTCTGCATCTATTATGCTCTTTATTGCACTCATAAAATTGCTTTCCCCACACCGACTCTTTATATCCAAAACGCTTGTTTAATTATCAGACTGTCTCTTATATTGTTACACATATTTCTGGTTAATAATGTTTTTTCACACAATTTTCAGATGTTAATGAATGCACCGGTTTGAAACATGAGTGTCATGATGATGCTACTTGTACAGACACAAGTGGTTCATACACGTGTAAATGTAATTCTGGTTATGAGGGAAGTGGTACGACCTGCAATAGTAAGTGTGAAAAGCTTTGCATGTTGGCTGAATGCATTTCCATGTGTTAATATCCGTACCGACCAAGCATCATTGGCCAGGGCGAAGTTTCTCATGTTGCTGACAGGTGGGTCCATTCAGTCCAGGTTGATAGTGCTTGTAACAACTAGCATAGCTTATCCACACACTTTCCCTTTCCTAAGATGGTTGGCAAGAATCAAATGATTGGAAAAAATTAAGTCGCAACTAGGATATGATGTTGTAGCTGCTCAGAAGAAAAGAGTACAACAAAAACAACCAGCATACTCATGAGATTTGAGCCCTGTCTTGAATAGTGTTTTATCCCCAATGGTTCTCCTGCCCCGGTAAGATAACAGTGAACAATTTAACCCTCATTCCGGGTTGTGGGGTCCAACGGACCCCAGGAGTATGATTTTTGAAATATTTTTATATTGTTGCATCGCATCTCCCTGAAACTTCATGTATTCCTCAACAACACAATAACCGGGATAAAGTGTCTGGGGTTAGAGGTTCATGATGGATTTCACTTTTATTACGGAAAATGTGGGCGGGGGTCCAAATGGACCCCAGTAACATAGAACACAGGGAAGTGCAACAATTGCGAAAGTTTTGGTATTTATCTCATGGTCATCGTATACATGGATGACATCCACTGAAGTATGAGGCCCTACAAGAAAATGTTCTTCTACAGCCATAATCCCTCATTCCATGTTGACTTTTTTCCTACGTTCCCAGTATATTGGGGTCCTTTTGGACCCCAGGAACGTTTTGGGTGGTGTTCTTGCAAACTTGCAAATGATCCCGACAAACTTCAGAGCCGTCAACAAAGGCTGTTTGGTCAAGGCATTGGTCTATGGGAAGGTAACACAGCCAAAAAATTTCATAAAATGGAGAGGTTGCAAGTACTTTTCTAATTGTCCGCAAAGGTGTAATTATATTAGGCCCACAAGTAACTACAGTGTACATGTAATTACTTGTGGGCCTAACATAATGTTAATTTTAATTTTGGTTTGAATCGCAGTGAAAAGACCATTTTGGAGTTGAGAAGTGAAGTTTAAGAAGTGCAAGAATACCACCCATGACGTTCCTGGTGTCCAAAAGGACCCCAATATACTGGGAACATAGGAAAAAGGTCAACATAGAATGAGGGTTAAGCACTCACTTGAATGGTACCCTCCCCTGGGGCTTGTAACCAAAGCGCATGTGCACATTTGGTGTTGTGTTTCTCATGTTCTTGTCCAATCTTGTCCTTGGTGGTGTCAGGGTCAAAATTGTATTTCTTGTTGCCCTTTCTGCTGATTATCAGTCAGAGAATCTGGAAGAGAATGACTTGGAGGTACCGTAAAGCATCGTAAGAGCACCCCACCATCTCGTCCTTTCGTAGTCGCATTGTGGAGGTAGCGTCTTGTCTTTAGGTCATACGACACAGATCTTGTACACACATTGCATGTTGTACAGTAAATGCATGCTCGATTTACCTCCAAGCGGACACAAGCTCCTCACAAAAACTGCCAAGTGTGACCTCAGTGTGCTAAGGTTCCCGCACCGAATGCACTTTGTTGCACTCTACTATACGGGTTTCCTTTCCCTGGCTGTGAAATCAAGGCAGAGTCGCTTAGTGGCCCGAGACGGGGTGCTCTGGCGGTACTTTACGGTAACGATCAATGGTGCTTCTGCAGTCAAGCATGAGTTGCCAAGCCTTTCTCCTCCATACTTGTATTACCAGCTCTCTTTGGTAGGATGATGACGATATTGTGCAGAATGAGCACAATTCCCAGCACACTGTTACAGTATGATATCCCGTCTTATGCTATGCTGGCATCATCATGCCTGCTTAAACTATCTAGCAAGACATACAATTGTCACACAGCAATGAAGCAAACAACTCTTTCTCGGAGTTTTGTTAGAAACACTCATCAGACAGCTTGTATTACTGGCTCTGTCCACTGGACGTAGAGCACTATACGCAGCCTGAGGACCTTCGACAACCGTCAAGACCTACATAATACCTGTACTCTCTTGCAGTCTACCTGCTGCCAGACAAGAAGCAGAGGAATACGCCGTGTCGCTAGGATTCACACAATGTGCTTTTGTAGTTTTTTTTCTCTGATCGTGCACGTGTCGCATCACTCTGTGCCATGTCCGTCAGACACCGATGAATGCATGGCCGGCAGCTATCCGTGTGATGGCAATGCTACATGTGTGGACACTGTAGGTGCGCACACATGCACCTGTAACACTGGCTACACAGGCAATGGAACACAGTGCTTCGGTAAGTGAAGTCTGCAGTCTGCATTCTGTGCTTGGGGATTACGCGCAGCTTTCTTTTTCGCATATCACTTTCAATGGACATAGCTGCTCGACTCTGTTAAACATTTTAAACACAATTCCTACAAACCACTGTACTAGTCTAGAAAAGTGGGAACATGCGAATTGAGTTCTCTTGATTGTAGCCGTACATTAGTAACAGCATGCATTGACAACTACTCAAACTGAGGTGGACAAATACTATTATTCCCATAGCTATGCAAAAGACGTTACTTCAGTAACGTATGGTGCTAGCCAGGGTCCACACCGCTTTAATTCCCGTAGCTATGCAAAAGAAGTTACTTCAGTAAGGTCTGGCGCTAGCCAGGATCCACACAGCTTTAATTCCGTGGTAGTGTGTTTGTACCGTTGGCATGCCTGGCGCTATCCCGTACCTGTCCCATACTGTACCATCAAAGACAGCTGGCCACAATACTCAAATAGGGCTGCAAGATGCAAGATCATAACGTGAAGCAACTTGGAACAATGAGTATGTATGCGAAGTGTATCGAGGGAATGCATGAAGGGCGATAGTGCGGGTTCGAATCCCAGGTTATGTCTTGAAAAAAAAACTGCATTCTAATCAACTAAATGGCCGGTTGATTTTGTCTGTTGGAATGCCAATCGCGGGTCTATAAAATTACTCTTTGGACGGTTAAACCTCTCCGTCAAGAAATGGACATATACAAACTGAGAGTAACTGTCCACCACTGTAACCAGATACTATAAAACTGTCAGAAAGTGCAACAACTAGGCACGAAACTGACTGTGATAAAAAAAAGTAAATTATCGTATCCGTTCCTGAAGGGAACTCACGACGGCCGCTAACACCCGATAAGCCCTAGCGGCAGATGCAGCGCCTAACGGTTGGGGTGAGTGGGTAAGTCGTACAACTGTGTGATAGGTAAGAATATTTGTCCGAAGACGATCGACCCATGACCATAGAAGACTCCGAGTACTGAGACATTCGACCACCTTACGCCTTAGGTCTCAGTATTCTGTCAGTTATGTACTCCCCGACTTGTAGTGCGTGCCCTGCCGCAATTAGATCGGCAAAGCTGAGCTAAGTCAACGAGATCTAGCTCTATGAGTCGCGTATCAAATCACATAATCAGTGTGTTCGTTAGCTGTAAAAATCGATGTTTGCCTGATTGGGGGTTATGCGGGCTTGGGTATTGGGCTGTGGGTATCGGGCTAGGGTATCGAGCTGTGGGTATCGCATCCTTGTAGTCAAGTGTAGAGGTTCGAAGACGCTCTCAAAAAATGCTCCCTGATCAAAAACAATCTACATCCTAATATTAGAATCCGGCATTATAGGGCACCCGGCTTCGTATGGAATTCCTAGAGAAATCTACTAGTACATTTTTCGGCTGGGAATATCGTTAGTGATCCTTCAATCCCAGCCTGATTATCCTACGGGAGCATTGTCAATTATGAAGTAATTGAGATACTGCTTTTCTCATTTTTCAGACGCTGACGAATGTAGCACCGGAGAATCAAAGTGCGATGACAGTGCAACATGCACAAACTCTGCTGGCTCATTCACTTGTGAATGTAACGATGGATTTCAGGGAAACGGCACACTCTGCACCAGTGAGTTACAATCAGCAATATTGCAATTGAGAAAAAGAGAGCCAGTTGGATGTACATGTGACTACTATAATATTAGACGATGTCTGTAGATGGGTAGAATGTGAAGTAACAACAAGATCAAAAGATGCAATAGTGCAGATAACAACGGAGAACGATTCGAACAAGTTTTCTTTCAACACTCGTCAGGAATCATAGTTGAACTACAGTGCATTCATCGCAAACAGTCCTGCTGGCTTTTGAAAGTCCGATTTGGGCCGAATTGAGAAACAAAAACCATCAATCTGGGTTTGGGATCGGCTTCTCCATACCTTTTGCCATGGCGCACCTGTCCTAATTTTGTAAAACCTGGCTTAATTTCTTTTTCCCTGTTCTTGGTTTTTACTGCCTCAAATGTTGCAAGGAGTGATTGCATGAGTCACACAATGCAGGATGTACTGTAGTTTTCACGATATCTACAACTATGTGTGGGAGACACCAAAAGTTAGGTTGCCAGTTTCCAATAAATGGACTGTAGTGAACATTGAAACGGAAATAAACTTTTATAAAACAAGCAAACAGAAGTACCACGTAGTGACAGTGCTCAAGGTTACAAGTGTGATTTGAAAGAGTGAAAGTGAGATGTGCAAATCAAGTGTGTACTATCAAGTGTGCTATGGCTGGTTGTTTGTACGCGTGTTTGCGTGACCACCCCTCACATACATTGAGTAAGACCACAAAGGGTTAAAGACAGTCAGTGCAGTGCGTACATGTTTGTCTGAGTGCTACGCACATGCCACAGTTCAGAAATGCAAATTGCACTCAGCAGCCACCAGTTCGGTCGATGTGTGTACTATCAAGTGTGTTCAAGCAGGGCCATTGGGAGGTATTTTAGTGTGGTACGGTCAGCCATCTGAAGTACAATTTACTTGTGGGGAGGAGTTGCTGCGGCGAACATTTTGGAAATTTAGAGCCCAAATCAGTGCATTTTATTGATTCACAGGGTACCTGGGGCAAATAGTAGTACGGTCAATACCGTAGTGACCGTACCGTGTCCGATGCCCCTGTCAAGTGGTTACTATCAAGTGTGTACTATCAACGTAGTAATCTGCGTGGAATGTCTCACCTTATGCTGTTATCACAATGAGCGAGAGATCGCGGATTCCACACCTCGAATGGGTAGCGACGCCTGGCATGAGAACACGAGAAAACATACTCCACACTTGACTCGTAACCCCGCCCCACTCATTTCCCTGGAGCCCACATATTTCTCCAGTGCTTGCAGTGAGCAATCTACTGATAGAGTAATGGGAGGAGATTGCACTCCAGCTACACGTGCTTTTGCGCGAATCTTCTTAAGAACTGCTCGGTCTGTTTTCTTCTCTTTTGTTCAGGAAAAGGCGCAGGCTCCAACACTTTCACCATGGTGATAGCTGTTTCTGCCAGCCTCCTGTGTATTGGCTGTGCAATCGTAGGCATTCTTGTTGTCATTCGCCGACACCAGAGTTTAGGGAGTTTCGTCATCAAAACCGGTAAGTCGGAGTTAATGAGAGTATGTGGCATCCCGGTGCACTACTGTTGACTTGTGTCTGTGCATGTGCAAGCAAGTGTGTGTGTGTGTGTGTGTGTGTGCATGGAGAGAACTGTGCAGATGTGTGCGTGTGTGTGTTGTGACAATATGACAATGTGTGTGTAGACAAACATTACGATTATGTATTTGTTGTGGTGACATCTGTCATCAGTGTGTCATGCCTCTTACCTCATTGTAGCTTCATCCGTAGTCCGCTTCCATTGTCCTTGTTCTATATTCTATTCTATTTCTTCTAGTGCTAGTCGTTTCACTTCTCATCTTTCCTTGAAATAGTATATTTGAATTGTAATTGTTTTCCTGCAACGATCGCTCGTGTTATTTATTTGTGTCTTGACTTCATTATTTATTTCCCCAGCGCCTGCAAGGCTGCATGCGCATGCTAGCTTCTGTGTTCACGCGTGACTAATGATGTCATCGCTATGCCTTTGCTTGCTGCGCGTAGTCGCGTAGCTGGTCTTGTTGTTTTCTTTGCTTCGTTCGAGTTGCTGTTGCTCGACTTCGTTTTCAGATCTATTTTCTGCATTAGATGATGGCCGTGATGGCTGTCGCTGCAATAGCAGCTTCAGCCACGACGGGCCTCTATCGGTTGCTCTGCCGCCATGTTCGACGCCATGTTTTAGACGTGTCTTTTCCTGGCCAAAGTGCTGGTGATTTTGTGTTCTTGTTGTTCTTTTCTTGTTCTCTCTCCTTTTCCAACTTGCATTTTTCGTGATTCATACATTTCCACCAAGAGGCTGCCGTTTGCGCTGGTGTGTTGTGTTGGGTGAAGAGGGGTGATAGAGAGACTAGATAGCTCCAGTTCTCCCACAACTTTGTGGTGCCGAAACCCGGGAAAGAGCCGGGAAAGAGTCGGGAAAGTGTTTTCGGAGTACGAGTGTCGTAGTGATTTATTTATTTTGTCTGACCCTCCAGGAAATCGCGATTCCCCGGATGCAACAAATTTCGAGATTTTGGCCCAAACCCGCGATTTTCAGCAAAATCCGCTATTTCCCGCGTTTTTTGTTGTTTTCTGCACTATATCTCACATTTGTATGCACTTTTCACGGAGTTCTTTCCATGATCCTGTAGGTTATTTGCACAGTACGACTCCCGAGTAGATAAACGATGCCACAAATCCGCAATATTCTGCAAATAAATCCGCGAATTCCTGGCAAGTTCTGCATCATTCCGCACTTTTCGTCGCATTTTTTGTTACTTTCTGCCGCAATTTCTTGCGCAAGTTTTCGAGAGTTTTTTCCGCAAATTCCCGCAGGGACAGTTTTGTGAGACGAGAGTTCTTACTGTGAGTTCCTACTGTGTGTTCCTACTGTGTGTTCGTGGAATACTCGAGTGAATCATGTCTACCAAGTATCTTGTCCAGCCGTTTTCTGGCAAGGATGGTGAAGACCTAGAGGAATTCTGGGCAAAGTTTTTAGTTTTGGCCACTGCCAAGGAATGGTCCGACGAAGATGCACGCATGCATCATCTACCTTTATATTTGCAGGGCGATGCATTTCAAGTGTTTGCTCGAATGGCAGAGAGTGACAAAGGCAAACAAGCAGAGGTCAAGAAAGTTTTAGTGAGTGCGTTCAGTGTGACGCGGTCCAGAGCGTATGATTTGTTCAAGCGCCGTTGTTTGCGTGTGGATGAAAGTGTCGACGCGTATGTGGCCGATTTGCAGCGTTATGCAGCGCTGTCGGGGCACAAACCGGGTGGTACCGCCAGCAAGGATCCGATCGTGATCGAGCAACTGATCGCTGGCCTACAGCCCGAATTTGGCCGCCAGCTGAGAATGTCGCTGGCTGGCCAAGAGCTGACGATACCTGCGTGTCTAGAGCGTGTGCGTGCGCTCAGAGCCAGTGAGACCGATGCTCGGTACACAAGCAGGTTCAGCCAGAGCGTTTCTGCTAGTGCCAGAACCAGTAGTTACAGTGGAGGTGTACACCGACCTCGCAGTACTGTTGTCTGCTATAACTGTAATCAGCCTGGGCATGTCCAGCGTAACTGCCCAGAGTTCAAGAAGAAGCAGAAGCCCCGTTTCAGTGGACCAGTAGTGTGCCACTTTTGTGATCAGCCTGGTCATGCAAAGCCAGCGTGCCCTGAGAGAAGGAAGTGGCGAGAAGCCAAGGCAGCAGAACGTGTGGCGGCTGCTGGTACGTCGCATAGTAGCAGTGACAAGTGCCTGTGTGCGATGTCCACTGAAGCTGCCCCCTTGCCAAGGATCTATGTGGACGTGGAGTCGGCCAAGCCGGGTGACTGGTGCCGTGGAGAGGCCATGCTGGACACCGGTTCGCCTCGCACGCTAGTGTCGTCTGGCTTTATACGTGCGGCTAAGATGTGTAGCCAAGTGTTGGCGGTAAAGCAGGAGAAGCTCCTCGCCCTGGATGGTGAAGCCCTGCCGATTTCGGGGTCAAGTTCACTAACGATTCGTCGCCTGGATGGACCCGTAAATTTGCCGCCTACCCGTGTTGTTGCGTTTGTAGTTCCTGAGCTGTCGGTTATTAATGCTGACCTGTTGCTGGGATCTGACCTTGTCCGTGCCATCGGTGGCGTCAGGTTGCAGTACTCTGAGTCAGGTGATCTGCGGTCCGTGTTGTTTGGTTTGTCAACCGCCAGTGACCCTGACCCTGTGTCGTCTGTCGTTAGTGATGCTCTGCAGTCGCCGGATCAGCACCCGTCTCGGCATGTTAGCCTGGTGCAAGACGGTGAGGACGTGACGCTATCTGTCGAGGATGGTCAGGTAAAGTGGCTAGCAGCTGAGCAGTGTTGGCAGGCAGCATGGAGGTGGAAGGACGACAAGCCAAGAACCGGACGCATCGGCAGCGGCATTGGGGAGTACCCCCGGAAACTTAGTGATGATCAAGAGAAGCTGTTCCAGCAAGAAGTGGACTCCTGGATCGGTAACGGATGGCTCATCGAGCATGATGAAGAGGTACACGGAGCTCCTGCTGCCATTCTGCCATGGCTTGCGGTCAGCCAGGAGCACAAGCCTACTACACCTGTTAGGCCTTGCCTCGACTACCGTGCGCTGAACCGTGCCCTCGTTTCTCAGCCCGGTATGGATGCCTCCGTGTGTGGCGAGAAGTTGCGCGTGTGGTGTACGCACGATGCCAACGAGTATGAGATGTTGGATATTCGAAAGGCCTATCTGCAAGTCCGTATGTCACCTGAGTTCCTATGGTATCAGTGCGTGAAATGGAGGTGAAAGCTGTACGTGATGACCCGCATGGCGTACGGGCTAAGCGCTGCACCGAAGTTCATGGACGTAATAGTCAAGTGGTGCACGCGAGATCATGATGGTGTTGACAATTACGTTGACGATCTGTACGTCCCGAAACCGCAGACAAAGGCTGTTGCGGATACACTCGAGCGCTATGGCCTGCGCACGAAGCCAGCTGATCCAGCCAATTCCGCCCGAGTACTTGGACTTCAGCTGTCCACTGGCCAAGATGGTCAAACCCGTTGGAAACGTCGAGACGGAGTGAGTCTCGAGTGTGGCAAGCTGACCAAGCGTGGTGTATTCTCGTGGTGCGGCCGACTGGTATCGCACTATCCCGTGTGCTCGTGGCTGCGACCTGCCTGCAGCTTTCTGAAGCGCCTAGCATATCGTGATGGTGGTGGTTGGGATGATGACGTCCCCAATGATGTGGTAACCTGTTGTGCCGAACTAGCAAGTCGCGTCCAAGATGAGGATCCGGCCACAGGCGTGTGGAATGCGTCAGTGAACGAGCAGCAGCTCACCGTGTGGTGCAATGCGTCTGATGTCGCATATGGCATTGTTGCCGAAGTTGGTGGTGAAGTCATGGAGGACAAGTCTTGGCTTCGCGATGCCGACGAGAAGAAGCATATCAACATCGCAGAATTGGAAGCAGTAATCCGTGGGTTGTCGACGGCAGTCGAATGGAACGCCAGCAACATCCGTCTTGTCACTGATTCCAAGACCGTGTATGGCTGGGTGAAGTCGTGCCTGAATAATGAGCGGCGTGTCAAGTTGTCCGGTCTGAACGAAGTGTTGGTTCGCCGACGCCTAAACATCATTGACGACATTGTCGCGACCGCGAAGCTGTCCGTCACCATTGAGTGGGTACCGTCCCAGCAGAACAAGGCTGACAAGCTCACGCGTGTCCCAGATTTGTTCATCCCCTGCTGGAAGAAATCAGCCAAGCCAGATGTAGTTGCTGCCGTCTCTGCACCCCCGGAGATTGTGAGTGCTATTGTGTTACAGGACATTCTTGATGCGCAGAAGTCTGATCCTGTTGTTGTTAGTGTGATTGAGTCTGTGCGTCATGGTCGTGAGATTTCCGACCCGGTATTTAAGAAATTGAAGTCTCAGTTGTCTGTATCTGATGATGGTTACTTGTATCGTAGTGTGAAGGTACCGCCGAATGATGTGCGTGTTGTACCAGTTGTGTCTCAGTCATTGCAGCAGCGAGTGGTGTGTCGTGCCCATGCTGTGAGCGGTCATTCCAGTTGGGAGACCACATGGAAGCTGTTGCGTGCGAGTTGTTATTTTGCAAATATGGCTGTTGTTTGTCAGTCGTTGATTCAGTCGCGTGATGTGTGTGCTGCTGCTAATTCGAAGCGTGGGCCTGTTGCTGAGCCAACACGTCCGGTTATTCCATCTGGTCCGTGGAATTTAGTACAGCTCGATACCCTTGAGTTGGGTCCGAATAGAAGCCACCGGTATCATTGTGTTCTTGTCTGTACTGATATGTTTACTAAGTGGGTCGAGGTTGTCCCATTGGTTCGCCATGATGGTCCGTCTGTAGCAGCTGCGTTTGTGGATGTATGTTCCCGCTGGAGTGCCCCAGCAGTTGTACGTTGTGACAATGGAACAGAATTTGTCAATCAGGTAGTTACGTCTTTGTATGATGCATTTGGTGTAGAGGTGCGACATGGTGCAGTGCGTCATCCGCAGAGTCAAGGTGGTGTAGAGCATTTTAACCGGACTTTGCTGACTTT